AGCCAGCTGGGTGACCTTGGGCCAGTCATTTTCTCTCAGCCCTAGGAAGGAGGCAATGGCAAATCACTTCTGAAAAACCTTGCCAAGAAAACTTCAGGGACTTGTCCAGGCAGTCTCCAAGAACTGGACACGATTGAACGGATTAAAACAATTTAAAAAGGGATGCTCAGAGTTTCCCAGTTGAACCTATGGTTGAATCTGTCCATATGTTGTGAGATTAAGGAGTTTTCATCATGTCTTCTGACTGCTTTTCTTCTACTGTAATGTAATTGCCAGCTTTTCTTTCTGTGTGAAGTCTCGTTTACTTGATTAATAAGAGATGATAAAAGTACAAACTCAGTCTGCAAGTAATAAAAATGCATAGCCCTTTTGAAGCTGCCAGTTCCTCACAAGTGACAATTTGTTTCCTTCTTAAAGTTCCTAAATTAGCCTTAATTTAGATGGTTAAAAGGACCTATTTGGCTATTCTCTTCTGGATAGTCAGTATGGGTTAGGCATATCAGGATTAGAATCAAGAGGCAGAGGTTTAAGTTATTTAGATGGTGAAATGGCTACATTTCAAAACAATTGAAGAAGTATTCTTTGCTATCCATATATTAATACGCTCCTGAAATTTTATTTTCCCTTAATTTTAATATTTGTTCACTTTATTAGCTACAGAAAGTATATACCCACTGTCCTAAATACTGTCCAAATTATATAACCAATTTGTATAGAATCCCAAAGATATTATTATCCATGTTTATAATATTTAAATAATTAAGAAGGGTGACAGGTGTGAAATCACCTCTGTGTACATCTATATTTTTCATACTGATTTATATCTAGAGAGTCTTCATACATAGTCAACATCAAATGAGCTCCACCCATGAAAATATTGCTCAAGTTTAGTTCTCAGTCATTCTTGAATAAATCTACTGGGATATCTTTCTGAGATAGAAAACTATTAATGCCGTCCCATGGACATTAAAAAGTATCACCCAACTAGAGGATATGCAACTGAAAATAGCTGAATGTAGACCAGAGAATAACTGATACAACTTAAGATAGCAACTATATAAAAAAAACACTTTTGCTAATTTTATTTATTTATTTATTTAAATTCCTTATAGCTGCTCAACTCTAATGGACTCTGAATAAGCTAAATTGTCCAGGGTGGCAATGTCTGTTCAAACTGAGCTACTAGCAAAATTTAAATTTTATAGAAGTAATAGGAATAAACCTAATTTCTCTTTAGCATGTTATAAATAATTCAAAAGTAGATATATGTCTCAAAAAATCCAGGGCAAAATTATAAATACCTGAACTAATATCATTCAAACAGTGAATAAGAATAAAGCAGCAAAATCTATCAACTGAGAGATTATTAGATTTATATACCACCTTTTCTTCTAGGAAATCAAGGCAACATATACTGTATACAATGATAACCTTCTCCAATTGTTATTCTGTGAGATGTTAGGCTGAGATAGTGATTATACCTGTATCACACATTGAGCTTCCACGAACAAGGGTAAACTTGAACCTGGGTTGTCCTAGTCCAAAACTTTTACCACTTCAATACGCTGACTCTCATTAACACTAATTGACAGCTTATGACTGTCAATTCTAGAAAAGAAATCACATCTAAATACAGTCCAGGGAGTTTGCCTTTGTTTTCTAAATTACTGTAAGTTGAGCTGCAGTTCCCCAACCCCCCCAAAACACCAATTTATAGATCAGCATTTGATGCAATAAAAAGAGCTGACACTAGTAAGCAAATTCCACACATACATATCACCGATATATAGAAGTTTTTTTTTTCTGCTCCTATATGGCCCTGGCCATATTCTTAAGGCTTTACCCAGTATTTTAAGTATAAGAAATTTAGAAGTTAAACTAAAAATTAAAGTTGAATTTTTTACAAGACCATCCAAAACTGATCATCTGCTAGACCTTTTTCAGTTGAGTTTCAGGCCAGGACACAGTATTGAGACAGCATTGGCTGCACTTGTTGATGACTTGTGGCGGGGCCAGGATGAAGCTGACATGTCCTCCTGGCCCTTTTTGATCTCTCAGCAGCTTTCACTACAATCAATCATAGTATTCTTCTGGACCAGCTGTTGGAATAGGAGCAGGAGGCACAATGTTACAATGGTTTTTTCCTCCTTTTTCCATGACTGATTCAAATTTGTGTTGGGTCTGAAGTGCCTGCTTTGTCAGATGCTACAAGGATCAACATTCTCATCCCTCCTGCTTAATATCTACATAAAGTTTCTCAGGGAGTTAATTTTTCAGTTTGGGGTCAGGTATTATCAGTACATGGATAATAGCCAATTCCCTGGCCAGCCAAGCAATACTGTCAAGGACTTATCTCAGTGTCTGGAGGTTCCTGCAGTCTGGATGGGGAAGAACAGATTCAAACCGAACCCTAGGAAGACCGAGTGGCTCTGGCTGCTTCAACCTCTTGGGACCTTCACGCTGAATGCAGCTGCATTCCCCTTTTGGGACTAGTGTGCAATCTGAGGGCCTTCCTAGACTCTTAGCTCCTGCTTGAGGAGCAAGTAGTTGCTGTGCACAGGATGGCCTTTGCACAAAACCAACTGTGCATCAACCACACTCATTTCTGGACTGCAAGACCTTCCTTACAGTCACTCATGCTTTGATCGCCTTGTGAGTGGACTACTGCAGTGGGCTCTACCTTGTCCCTGAAGACCATCGAAAAGCTACAGCTGGTCCAGAATGCAGCAGCACAAGTAGTGCAGGAAAGCCCAACTATAGACCCATGAAATCCTGTTTTGTGAACTGCACTGGTTGCTAGTAAGCTTCCAGGCACAATTCAAGGTGCTGGCTAATACCTATAAAGCCCTACATGGTCTAGCTATCTGAAAGACTGTCTATCTCTCATAGTATCTACAATCAGAGTTGGCTTACTTTAGATCCTGTGAATTAAGCAATGTCCTTTAATGTGACCCAGGAAGCAGGGTGACTATGCTTTTTTAATATTATGTTGGTCATTTTTTTTTCTGTTTTTAATTTTGTGAAGCTGCTCATAGATGTTTTTGGAATTGGGAAGCCTAGAAATTGGTCAACTGTTAAATTTTCTGCCATTGCCCCTGCCCTCTGGAATATTCTCCCCCCAGAGGTGCGGCAGGCCCCTACTCTCCCAGGTTTCCAGAAAGGACAAAAGACCTGGCTCTGCCAACTTGCATGGGGCAATAAGAGTTTTAATCAATCCTGTGGGTGGCTGGTACCCTGATGATACTCCCCGAGCTACTCGCCAATTACCATCAATTCTTGGAATATATTATTTATTCAGGACTACTTTTATATTGCATTTTTAATTAATTTTATCTTCTCTGTAAACCACCCAGAGTCACTTTTAACGAGATGGGCAGTGACAAATATGATATATAAATAAATATAAATAAAAAATATTACCTGCCCATCCATCCAATCAATCAACATGCACATAATAGACAGAGCCAATGTTAACTTTTCAGCAGGCTTCCATCTGTATTAAACATGATAAAGCTAAAGATACAAGAACCAAACACAACTGTTTAAGCAAACTAACAGGCTACTAAACCAGTTTTAGTAACAAAAACATCCCAACCATTTTAACTAAAGCTGAGCTCCCTGCTTATTGAAAACTGATGCCAATTCACCAGATATAATAAACTGATTAACAAAATCATGACTGCTTTTTCACTGGTTGAAACATAGCTGCTAAACCTACAAATTAAGCTTTGCGTCAGATCAAATGTGTCAGATCACAGAAATTCAATGCAGCAATATTTATCATTTGGTATCACTCAAAAGCCAAGGAATTCTTTACTTGAAGCCATACAGCTGAATTTCAGTTACGTCTCTGGCTTGTTTCCACCTTATTTGCTTCCAGCAGCGAGAGATTCAAAGCATGAAGTGAAGAGAAATAATGACAGAAAAATACAACATCTAATATATTTGCAGCCTTTTAAGGAAGAAAAAGAAAGATCAGCACATAGCATTCTGGGAATAATCAAATCCAATCTAGTGTAATTTTCAGTAGAAACAGGTAGGTTAAAACACATTAACAACCATGTGTTAATCAAGCATGCTTTAGGGAAAATACTATTTTCTTCCCTGTATTAAATATTTACTGTTGGGTTGGACTGCATCAGCCTTGTAAGGACCTGTAATCCTGGATCCATGGAAAATAGGGAAAGTTCACCTCTCAACTGTAGTAAAAAATACTGAGCATGAAATGGAAAATACTCAACAAGAGACAAACACCATCCTCCTCCTTGCACCTTGAATCAAAGTAACAGCCAGTTAGCCTTTCTTTGCTCCTTGTAAAGAACAGGGAAGGAAGGAAGGAAAGGATTGTTCTACAAGTTCAGGATATTTCATAACAAAAATACATAAGCGGAACAGGGAGCAGATGCAGAGCTAATACAGCCTGGCTTGGTGGGGTTCAACCTCACCCCCCACTTCCAACCAGGGTACCTCATACTAACCCGACTGGACCACGCAACCCTTCTGTCTTGGGCAGAATCGCTGCTGACACCACCCTCCCCGTGATTCTCGGGCTGTGTTCACACGACACGCTTACCCATTCTTAAGCGAGCCACGGTTTATGCTCTTATCCCCATTTTCCGGTCGGCACCACGCGCTCGGCAGGCTGCACTTGGGGTCCAAGGTGGTGCGATCCCAACCGTGGGCTTCGACGGAGGGAGAATAGTAAGGAAGGGCCGGGGGGTCTCTCTCTTTCAGGTAGGCCCTCTCCCTGAGTGAGGGTGGCCGAGCGACGCGACCAAATGGAAGCGGACCCTCACCCCTCTCCGAATACCGGGAAAGAGCTTCTTGCGGTCTCGGGATGGGGTCACCCTTCGCAGGCCAGGATGCTCCGGGAGGTTCAATCGATCAAGGGGGTCACTCACCAGAGCCGCCGTCGCTTCTGAGGCTGTTCCCGGCCTCAGGCCCCGCGGGAAGGGCCAGCTCGAGCATGAGGGGCCGGGGCTCCTCCTCCCCCTCTTCGTTCCTCCCCTGGCGTTGCCGCTGCCGCTTCCTTGGCCCGGGCAGGAGGGATGAAAAGGAACCGGAGGAAGGGGAAAATGTCACCTCAGAGAAGGGAGGCCGCTGGGCTCGCCTCAGCTCGAGCCTTCCAACGTCACTTCCGGCAGCAACAACGGCGCTACCTGCCACGGGAAGTGGGCGGGGGGAAAGGAGGAAGCGGGGCGGCCGGAAAGAACGGCTGAAGATGTGCTGCGGTGTCCAGACTTCGCCACCCTGC